CTCCCAGGAAACAAGCCTCATTTATGGAAGTCTGATCTGTGGTGCAGCCATCACTAGGGGAAAAATTATCACTGAGGTTACAAGTCTCTTCTGGAGGACAAGTCTTACTCACAGTGCACATCTCACGTGGAGAGCAAGTCACCTCTGAAACACAGACTTCAGAGACGCAGTCCTCACTGGCAGAATAGCATCCATCTAAAGAGATTTCCTGTGTCTCCTCATTTTCAGTGCACCTAGGAACTATCTGAAGGTTGGGTATAGAACAATTTTCAGAAAGACCTATTGGAACCATGTCCTGTTCTTTTTCAGTGAGTCCCATGTGATTTGTGGTTGATTCCACTAAACTGGCAACAGCAGCCTTCAAGTCATCAGCCTCCTCTGTGACAGCAATGTGCTTTAGAACCTCCAACAATGCAAGTATTTCTGAAGTTCTGCTGGTAGTCTTGTGAGCATCATCTTGACAGAAGCTATTCATACCTCCCTTCAGGTGTAGCACCAGGAGCCAAGCTAGAAGAACATTCGTGGATGAACTACATATTGGAGAAGGGAAGGGGACATCTGCAAGTGAACCTGGCATTTGAACAACTCCATTCTGAGTCTTGTGAACACTAGGAACTAAAGCTTGCAGTTGGTGAAGCAACCCGACTGATAAGAGGTCTTTGGGGGTGTCCTCTTCCATGAGATCGACTTGAATGGCAGCCTCTGCACTTTGCCCTTTTGTAGCTAGCTTTACATCTTTGTAAGCAAAGCTTACCTCTGGTCCTGACTTTTCAGCAGATACCTGACTTTTAGTATTATGACCATAAATAGCTGACTGTGGCAAAGTACAATATTCACGAAGGGAAAGACAGTAAGCGTCATTCAGAGATTCAATCTGGTTCTTACAGAGATCTTTCGTAAGTTCTTCACTGGTGTCTTTGTCTAAAGATGCACCTACCTCTCTACCTAGGTTATCTCCTGTCAAACTCGCATTTTTCGTTATGTGCTTATTACTTTCCAGGACAAAATTATTTCCTTTTCCAGGACTTGTACGGGAATTATTTCTTGGAAAACCACTGTTGTTACAACGTACCACACTCCTTTGCTTTTTGAATACTGGGACCGATTTTCCAGGTTGCAAAGCTGAATGTGGATTTATGTTCTGCAACCATCTCTGTACATAATTTTGAACTGAATGACTGGTAATATCATCAGGAAAAACAGCTTTTTTCAAAGAACCTAAGGAATTTGCCCTGGTTGTAACATGCTGTTTGCTAACAATAGTATCTGATTTCAACTTATCCCCTTTTTGTTTTTTCTGGCTTCTTAAACTTATGTGTGAATTATTAACTTTTGAAACTAAACTCTTCTTTGTTGTTCCTCTCAAATACCAAGATGCTATTTCTGCTTGGGCCTGTGGTCCACAAAAACCATTGGGGTTTTGCTCAAGGAAATTAAGCACATGAAATAAATTCTGATTTTCAAAAGTATTTTTGCAGTATCTAAATTTATTGTGGGAAAGTACTTCATCTCCTTGACCAATTTCTCTTTTTGTAGGTCCTCCTAAACTAACTTTGTTCAGTGGTCTGGATTTCCTTTTGGTTAAAAGTCCTTGAAACTTAGGATTATGAATAGTATTTAATTTATTTCTATGAAAATTCTTGGAATTCACAGGATTATTACTTTTGGAACAAAAATAATTTGATTCAATAACCATATCACTTGCATGGAGGTCTTTCTCACAAAGTAGCTCTCCTTTAAAGCGACTATGTGAATCCTGCAATATGGTTTCCTGTGAAATTCTACCTCTTGTATTTATTCTCTTACTCTTCCTGAGGATTCCTTTACTTGCACTCTCCCCACCTTGATGCCTGGAATTTATCACATGCTGCTCAGATTTCATCTTCTTTTTGATGGCAGCAGATGATGAAATCTGCTTTTCATTTTCTGGAAGTTCTGTTAAACCACACTGAGAAAATTCATTAATTAGCTTGTCAATTCTTGTGGTGACAGTAGAGGATCCTACTGAAACTGAGGTCTTGGAAATAGTTTTGTCAGTTTCAGAGTTGTCCTCTGAAGGATGAGTTGCATCTGCTAAGAAAGGACTGAATCTATCATTGGTGTTACCACCAGTTCTTAAATTCCTGATACTAGTTTTGTTGTCTGATGTTACACTATCAACTGTACCTTCCTCCACACTTGAGTTTTCTGATGTAGTCTGCAGCAAGCCATTGTTATGGGACATCTCTAACAGCTTCTGACTTGTAATTTCTACCACACCAGCGCTTATGGCACTCGACTTGAGCAGTCTGCTTTCCTTTCTTCTTTCTAAAGATGATTCTACCTGCTCATTGTTATCAACTTGAACAAGTACTGGTCTGTTGGATACTGATGACATTTTACTGCAGGAATGTGTGAACATGTGATACTCAGATTTGTTTTCCCCATCTTTCCTTTCTTCACTATAGGAAAACTGTCCAATCACTTTCTCTTGAACTTCAGTTTCAGATACCAAGGTCACACTCCCTATCACAGATTTCTTTTGTCTCATTCTCCTTGGTCTAGGTGTAGGGGGCCTATAAAAATGATGCTTCGCTTGATCCTGAGTTCCTTGGATGGCATTTGTGTCCATAGCAGCATTCTCCCAACTGGCAGAATCACAAGTTTCAGCCTCTTGATCCGTCATTTGAGTGTTTATCTCCTCTGCCAAACTGCCCTCTTGATTATTGCCTTTCTCCAGAGGTGAGACATCTGCAGACAATGAACATGCTGTAATCTTTAAACCAGATGATCGATCATCTGTTCTCCCTGGAAAACTTATCTCACTCTTTCCATCATTATTAGAAAGATCAGCTCTATTGACAGTGGTTGTCCATTTTATGGTTTCCTCCTCTTTTATCTTGAATCGAACTTTCATTTCAACTGTCATAGTGCCATCTTGATTAAAAATAATTGATTTCTCAACATCATCTTCAGAAGGATATATGAATAAATTCTGAGAATCATTTTTTTCTAAGGCCAAGTAATTTTCAGAAGCAAAAGAATGTTCTGAATAGCAATCATTACTCTGCATTTTGTCAGAAGAAACAGAATAAATCTGGGATCTTGGGCTTGAAGGCACCTGTGTGCTCACTTTCAAAATTTTAAAAGGAAAAGATGCGCCACATTAAAATATAATGTGGAAGGTAGAGAAGTTATAAATATCCAATAGAAGAGGTAGCAAAGAAAGAAAAGAAAAAAATAAATCATTAGTGTGAAAAATACCGTATTTTCTAAATTTCATAGTAAGATGTTATTAATAAGTTTCTCACTTCTATGTATTCATCGGTTTTTTAGCTCATTGTAATATCTGGAACATTTCTACACACTACTCTTTAAAAAGGAACTTACAATTTTACTTCAATGAGGAAGTTCACAAATTTTTAATTTTAACGAGTTTAACAAGGCAATTTTAATAAGGAAAGTATAAAGTAGAAACTGCTAAGAATTCTAGCAAAAATTAAGAGATTTTCATGGGGTTTTGTTTTGTTATTTTATTTTGTTTACCATTACTGAAATTGGAGTCTAACCAAGTGCTGCTTACCTATTAGGATAAGCAAGTAATAATTTATGTTGGCATTAATTTTCCCATCTGTGCATATCCAAGAGAGATTATTATATAGCAATATGAAAGCAAAAACATTTTTAGAATTTATTTTTAAAGCTAGATTAATCTAGTAATAATTATTAATTGAGCATCCATTTTGTATAACCAGTACACTTGATTTAATATCAATAACAAAAGGAAATAAAGCTACTCATAGACCCAGATATCTACGTAATTTTTTAATGTTTATCTCTAGTGGTAACTCTGGCACTCATGCTTCCTAAATTCAATCAAATTCATATTAGTAGTAGTTTGTATAGATGTGCACATGCTTACTACCAATTAAATATTTTAAAGTTTCAGAGTAGGCCTAGAGATGTTTTCTTTTATTTTTGGTATACTTTCACTAACATTATAAATGAAAATGTCTCATTCACAATTTTTTAAAAGTAAAACTCAGCAAAACCCTCAGATTCCCTGACACCATGAAAAATCATACTCAGCAACTCATATCAGACAGAAGATAATAAACCCATTTTCGTAAAATGCCTACAAAACAGAAACACTAATAATTATCTGTTAAGTATATTCATGAAATAACTAAGTAACAACAATAACTGAGATTCACCCATTTTAGCAATAAATAGAGGAATTAAAACAACTTAAAATGTGTATTATTCCATGTTTAAATGAAATAAAAACTAAAATTTAAGTATAAAAGGTAGTAAGTACTTTCGCATAGAGCTAAAATACTGAGTACAATGAATAATGAGATTAGCCACGCAAGGAGAATTTACAGCCTATCCCACACTCCTGGGTGTTGAGGGCCTCCTCCTCCCATATCCAAAAGATAATGTCACATTGCATGGCATTTCCTAAGGAATTATCAACCTAGAGTACAGTTAACCAGCATGAGCTGGCTAAATAAACCTCTTTTTTTTTAATAAATAAAAAGTGGATCTAAGGGCCTGTGATTTTTACTGGAGTAACTTCGGAAAGTAGAGCATGTATGCAGTTAGAGATTTTTAAAAATATGTACATCAACTAACCTGAGCTCAACCATGATACTGCACAGCATTATTTAGAGAAAATTCTGTACCTACCAGAGTACCGCTTAGACATATGCCATAGGGTTCCTCTCCCACTCTGATTTTTTCTCTAGGTACTACTTGCAAAGATTAAAAAACATACTTCATCAATTTAAACAGATACACCATTTATTAACTTGAAAAAAATCTTTAAAAGAAAAATTATTAGATAATCTCTATGACTCTTTCCAGCTATAAATATAACCAATTTCTGTTCAGAACGTTTCTGATCCCCTCGTTTTCTGTAATGAAGGAAACTGGTCATTTAAGATAAATTTTTTTGTTGCTGCTGGTGAGGTTAAAAATCTCAGGGCTAAAAATAAAGGCTATATATTTAAGTGACTTACTCTTTCTGCTTTCTGACCTAGCATTTCCCTTGGGATGCACACGATGAGAGATCCCTGGTAATCTAGCAGGAAGCAAGTACTTCTGGAGGTCATAATTTCCTGGTTTAAATGGCTCCCTTCCTGCTGCCACCACAGCTCCAGAGCTCAGGATCACAGCCTGGAGACTGGGAACCTAGAAAAAAAACCAGAGTATGGTCCTTACGTGAGCAACACGAAGTTTTGTTCTTTCCGTACAGTGAGTTTACAACTGAGTTAATTCAACCACCTCCTGGACTTGAGCGAGAGAATCAGGAAGCCAAGCATTTGTTAGGCACTAATGATGTATATAAAACGACTAAGTACGGGGTGGTGGGGGAGGGGCTTAGACCATACCCTTACTCAGCCTCCAGCTGGCGGAGACTGACCGGTCTTCCTCCATCAGAACCACAGAGCTCTTTAACAGGACGTAGTGCTGCCCGTCTTCCCCACCCAAGGATCCAGCTGAGAAAGGGCCTGCAGGACACGCCAGGCTGGCAAGGGACCACTGTGGACATGCTGTCCCCTGCAGGGGACTCTCCCCGGCCCGTCAGCTGGTCCCAGAAGATGCCTGGCCACTCCTTCCCAAGAAGTGTTGACGAGACTAGATTCTGCGCCAACCCGTCTACAACTCCGGGCTCGGGGAGGGAGTGTGAGGGCGGAGAGGCCTCGGGCCCACGCCCCGTCAGTGTCGCTCGCGGCAACCGAGAGAGCAGCCACTCCAGCGAGCCAGCG